ATGGTGTGGAAATTGAGACACCAGAACCAAACCTCGAAAAACTGAAACCTTCACTTCAGCAATGGCTTCACCAAAAATGGAAAATTCCCCCCTGCACTTGCAGAGTGGATGAACTGAAGGGATTAATGAGTAGTATGGGAAAAATAAATAGTTGACAATCCTGACTAGCTCAGAGCTGCCAACAAGGAGCAGTGATATCCATCTCCACCTCTCCTGCCTCAGCTTCCCCTGGCCATTCCAGCAAGATGTTCCCAAGCTCCCCACAAGCTCTGCTGCCACCCAGGAGCAGCACTGAGGGAACAGGATGCTCCCAGGACACCTGGAGATACACAAACACCTGCAGGAGCTCAACGGTGCAGGAAGCAAACACGTCACAGCGAGCATCCCAAACCTCTGGATGTGCCAACAGGCCACAAAGGTGAAGAAAAGTCAGAGGTGACATCGAAAACAGCTCCTTGAAGGGCAGGAAATTCTTCAGCCATGTTTTGCTGATGATCCAGAACAGAAGTCCTTGGGCTTTGAGATACTTCCCTGTTTTTTCTCCCCCAGGACTGCAGCCTGATGAGTACATGTGATAGCAGTAAGAACTTGGATTAATAAAAAGTATTTTTTCTCAGTTCATCAACTTTTAAACACTAAAGGAAGATTCTCCTTGAAGGATAAGTCCTCGGGACCCTCAACAGAACACTCTGGTTCAGCACTAAAATTAAAAACCAGCCATTACACCAAGTGACTACACGAACAAAATTCCGTATGAAAACATTTAAAGTACATTAGATTTTTGGTCAAGATGAAAGCCTGAGAAAGAAAAAAAAAAATCCAGCAATCTATTCTAATTGGGTTCCCATGGTAACTGTACAATTGGGTTTTTCAGTATAACATCCCAAAGGCCCAATGCACACTTGTAAAATATACTTCAAACAGCCGGAATTGTTTTTACATTACAGCACTCCCAGGAAGATCAATTACTATACATCCCCACCCTAACTATTAGTGGCAGGAGATGTTAACACTATTGGCCATATTAACATAAGTCATGTAAAAAACCCCACATATCACCATCATTATATAAAACTAATTACACACTTCAGATTCATCAAACACGTTCCGAGTAATAAACCAATACCAGTCTTGTCACCAGATCATGTTTACTGAATGCAAGAAATCAACCCCAAATATATGCCAAAGCATTTTTGCTTCTCATATTGATCCCAAGGATAAACAGAATCAATCATTAATAATTACATTATAAGATGACCCAGAGGGTTAATCATATTCTTAGAAAGTCTCGCTGAGGAATCAAATATAAATGGCACAAAAAGGCAACTGAAATGCATTTAAATCCAGGGCCAGCTGCATTAACAATAATAGAAAATAAAGTACATTAAACTCGTGCAATCAGGGAAAATAGTGTTATTGGTATGTTTTAAAAAATAATAAAACAAGCATTTCTTACTTCCTTGGGAGAATGGGCAGCCCTGGCACAGGTGCCCAGAGCAGCTGGGGATGCCCTGGATCCCTGGCAGTGCCCAAGGCCAGGCTGGACACTGGGGCTGGAGCACCTGGGACAGTGGGAGGTGTGGGAACAGATGTTCTTTAATCTCCCTTCCAGCCCAAACCCTTCTGGGATTTCATAATTTACTTTAAAAGTTTGTTTCAGCTGAAGCACTTTGCCTTGTTGGACCCCACTTTCACCTTCCTAAAGCACAACCCTGGCCAGAGAGATTTCACTTCCATCCCACTGCCTAAACCTCCAGGTTAAAAGAGAATGGTGATCCAGGCCCACTAAGCTGGATTCCAAACCAATTAATTCCCTAATATTTCAGAAAAAAATAAAAGAAAACCAAACCAAAAACTCCCAAACCAACAACTGTGGCCAGCTTGAATAAACCACATCAACCATAAATTTTCATATTTTATGGAGTCAGCCAAGAACCAGAGGCATTTCTGGCGTCAGCAGGAGACTGTGCAAGGGATTTCCCTTTTCCCACACCGTTCCCACTGCACCTCTGCCCACCCTCAAATCCAGCAGAGTGCAGGGAATGTGAATTTTGGGAATTGTTTCTGCAGGACATGGGTGACAGCAGAACTGTCCTGTCCCCACCACCAGCCCAGGCTGCCAAAGCAGGCTCGTGCTGCCCGTGTACTGCCACGTGCTGAACACTCATCTGCTGGTTTTATGATGTGAAACAGAAAAATTAATCTTTTAACAGGGCCTTAAGTATACTTTAGGTGTTTATTAAAAAGTGTAACTAATTAACAGACCTTCTGCACACTTGAATGTACAAACAAGCCGAGATAAGAGCGTTGTTTGCCTTGTGCTGACTGATCTAAAGCACTCAGATAATTTCAGTATTCCTGATGATGATTATGCAGCAGCAGCACTGACAAGACAGCACTAATTCTTGCTATCTGCTAATGCAGGGTTACCTGGAGGGACCTAAATCTGCACGTGGAGCACAGAGATGGCAGCATTCACACAACAAAACACTCTGACTCCACTGGGCTGTGCTAATATATATATTAAAATACTGACTGCATTGATCTGCACTAAAAGGTAGCATTTGTATAAAAATGAAAGGTAAAATGCATCCATCAGGACAAAACTCAAATTATTATTTATTCCCCACTGCCAAGCTGCTCAAGACTCCAGGCCATTGGTCAGTGCTGCTATTTTAACTCCCATTTCACTCAAAAAGGACAGAAGTCAGAACCTTTGTTTTAATGAACTCTCCTCTTCCTCTTTGCAATTAAAGGTGATTTGCTCAGGTATGTTTAATAACTTTCAGACTCACTGCTGCATCAGGGAAAATTTCAGCTGCACATCCAAGTTTTGCAAGTGACATGAAAAAATACCTGAAACTATCTGTATCATTTAATTTGGCCCAGAATAAACTGATAATCCTGACAGCCACCGGGGCATGGTAATTTAGG